GGTAGTCCATTAGCATAATTGGTTTCAGGCCATCATTGGGACAAAAGTTATTGAGATAATTTGTTTATCAACAGATCTGCAACACTATGTCTTGGACATTCAGATATAGAGAGGGACAGAGCTATCAACTTGGTAGTTAAATGCAATGGAAAAGCTCTGTGATGGCAGGGCTCTTGAGGTGGACAAGATCCACCCTGATTTATTTAAGGCTCTGGATGTTGTGGGACTGTCTTGGTTGACATGCCTTTGCAACATCGCTTGGACATTGTGGACAGTGCCACTGGACTGACAGACTGGGTTGGTGGTTCTCCTTTACAAGAGGTAGAGCTGTAGCCTGTGCTCCAATTATGGGGCATCATTCTCTTCATCATTCTCCTTAGTTTCCCTGGTGAGATCTATTCAGGGGTATTGGAGAAGCAAGTCCAATTGTTGGTCGAACATCAGATCCACGAGGAACAATGCAGGTTCTGTCCTGGCTGTGGGACACTGGACCTGCTCTTTTCCCTCACTAGGGTCCTTGAAGGGTCCGGTAGCTTGCACATCCAGTCTACATGTGTTTTGTGGACTTGGAGAAGGCATTTGACCATGTTCCTCAGTGTACATGGTGGGGAGTGCTCCGCGAGAATGGGATTTGGGGTCCCATTGCTATTATCTGTTTGGGCCCTATACAAGTAGTGCAAGAGTTTGGTTTGCATTGCTGGCAATAAGTCATATCCCTTCAATGTGGGAGTTGGACTCTGCCAGGGCTGCCAGTTGTCACAATTCTGTTCATAATTTTCAAGGACAGAATTTCTCGGTGAAGCCAAGGAGCAGAGGGAGTCTGGTGATTTCAGGATTCCATCTCTTCAATTTGCAGATAATGTGGTCCTGTTGGCATCATTGTGCCATATAATTCAGCTCTCAATGGAGTGGTTCACAGCCAAGTGTGAAACAGCTGGGATGAAAATCCATCCATCCATCCATCCATCCATCCATCCATCCATCCATCCATCCATCCATCCATCCATCCATCCTTTATCTTTTACCCGCTTCTTCCATTTTGGGTCACGGGGGTCGCCGGTGCCCATGTCCAGCATTCACTGTGCGAGGGGCAGTGTACATCCTGGATGGGTCGCAAGTCCATCACAGGGAAGGATGAAAATCAGCACCTCCAAATCTGAGGCCATAGTCCTCAGTCGGAAAAGGATGGATTGCTCTCTTTGGGTCAAGGAAGAGGTTCTGCCTCAAGTGGAGATGTTCAAGTATTTTGGGGTTATTTTCACAAATGAGGGAAGAATGGAATGTGAGATTGACAGATGAATTGGTGCAGCATCTGCAGTATTGCAGACTCTGTGCCAGTCAGTTGTGGTGAAGATGGAGCTGAGCTGTAAGACAAAGCTCTATGTTTACCTGTCAGTCTACATTCTTACCCTCACCTATGTCCACGAACTTTGGGTAGTGACCGAAAGAACAAGATCATGGATAGAGGTGGTTGAAATTAATTTCCTCTGCAGGGTAGCTGGACTCACCCTCAGAAACAGGTCAGAAGTGCAATTATCCAGGAGAGACTGAGAGTAGAGCCATTGCTCCTCTACATCAAGAGGAGCCAGTTGAGGTGGTTTGGGCATCTGGTAAGGATGCTCCCTGGGTGCCTCCCTAGGGAGGTGCTTCAGACATGTTTGACTGGGAGGAGACCCCGGGAAAGACCCAGGACACACTGGAGAGACTATGTCTCTCTGTTGGCCTGGGAACACCTTAGAATCCTCCCAGATGAGCTGGAAGAGGTGGGCGTGGAGAGAGATGTATGGGCCTCCCTGCTCAAGCTGCTGCCCCCATGTCCCAACTTTGGAACAAGTGGAAGATAATGGATGGATGGATGGACAGAGCTATCAACTTATCACAACCCAGTGGTAAGTTATAGCCGGTGGTAGGGAAGGCTGCATGACAGATCTGGAAATTTCAAATGAGTACTGAGGGTGAACTTGGAATGTATGGTATAGGACCTTGTTTGTTAGATCTCATACAGCTCATACTTCTGGGAGAATTTTTTCATATACCCTGATAAAAGTTGGGGACAATACAAACAGGTTGTGTTCAGAGCCAGTACGCATGGAAAATGCAGCTTTACAGACATGTGGTCTTCTGTTGGTGGAACTGGTGGTGATGGAACACATAAAAGAAAGAGGCATGTAAGATTTTGCTGTCTTTGCTTCTCTCTTGAAACAGCCAACATTCATCAAATTACAAAAATGGCTGTAATTTTGGATAAGAAAGCATAAACTTGGCTGTGAGAGGAAGTTACTTAAAATCAATTTCACTTGGCTCCAAGAAAAGTCTGGTAATCCACTTGGCACCTTTGAAAATAAAATCAGAGTCTGTCCTCAGCTGTGCTTAGATTGTGTGGCAAACTGTTGATTGGAACTTAAGACACTGTTGATCAGTAGAAAGAATACTTTGAGGGTTTCATTAATTCAGCCTCCATGTACACAAACAAGAAGGCAGAATATGAGAAGCAGAAAAGTCCAGAACAGAAGTATGGTAGATGTTGCTAGGGTAATTAACAAGCTTCTCAGTGCCAGAGAACCAGACATGGATGACATTTTCATTGGTTTGTTTAGAACTGTCACTGTTGTGGGACTGTGCTGGCTGGCCAATATATTTAATGTTGCATGGAGATTTTTCAAGGGATGTGGTTCTTTTGGTATCTTTAGAACATGACTTTCAACATATATTGAAGTAATTCATAGCTGAGAGTGAAGCGGTCTGGAATAAGGTATGCTCCCTCTGGCTTTGTGGATGAGTATCTACCTCAAGTAGAAACATTTTAGTGTCACTGTTTCTTGTTCTTGAGTTACAGCAGGATGGAAAGACATATTGTTGTCCATTGTTGTCATCATTCTTTGTTGAAATCAGGTCTCTCTTGTAAATGAGTCCTCGAGGCTCAATGGGATTTATCTGTCTAAATAAAGGTTGAATGAATATGGATTGATAGACTGGGGCTTTGCCTGCAATAATGAGAGTGAAGTTCCTATCTGTAGAGAAAAAGAAAAACCTGTGCCAAAAGGCAAATCTCTTGATTGACTCTTCCATCAACATTTCAACCATAGGTCATGAAATATGTATCATGACAGAGAACATGATCACATACATGTATATTAGCAAGATCAGCCTTAGGGTGAGTCAGCAAGAGAGTTCAGATATCTGCCTACAGATCACCTGCCTGTGAGTTATTTTGTGTGCATTGTGTATGCAGGAGACTCTTGGGCAGACTCAGAACTTACTGCATAGAATATATATTCCTTCTGGCCTGAGGATGCATTTGGGATTGAAGCTGGGGAATGAAGTTGCTGAGTAAGGATGTATGAGATTCCGGCGTGAACCTGTTGTCTTCATAACCCAACCTTCAATAAGCATACATAAATGGATAAGTGGAAATGGTTCTAACACCTTAAATAAGAACTACCAAGTTTTTGATTACTTGGGAAAAAAATGCAGAATTGTAATGCGTTGTTGTTTGTCCCTTTAATTGTTCAGTGTAACATATTTAGGGACATGTAGTGGTAGGAATTGCAAATCATCTGCAAACTTGAAAACAAAGAAAATATGTCTTTTAAACCTTATTTTTGTCTTCTTCCTTCAGGGTTTTCATGGAAACAGGTGGTGCACAATGTCAAAGTGTCAAAGGGCAAAGGGTCTTCAAAAATGGTAAGTGTATTTTGTGTGCTAAATAGCCTACAACTATTTTTTAACCACACATAATGCCACACTGATAAAATATTCTGATAGGCTTAAAAATCATATGGACCTAAAATGAAACCATTTTTTGTTTTGTATCATTAATGGCTGATGCCATTCAGACAAATAAACACTGTTGTTTTTTTATTCCTTATAATGTAAAAATCTTTACAACCTTGTATTACTAACTTGCTTAGGAATGTTGTGCACACATTTGCACACTACATGTGGTTGCAGATGGAAACCAGGTACTTTGTGTTTGTTTTTGGTGGATGCTTGATGTTGCATTGTCAGCTTGGTGTGCTTAGAAGTGGCTTAACAAGCCCAGCAGGGCTTCTAGCATCAAACGCTTTGCTAATAGCTGATAAACTCAATGAGCTTGGCCAGGCTGGACAACAAACTGGCATGATCACATTCAAGACAGCGCTCAAATATTTCAGTACGCCTCTCAAACCCTCCAGCCAGCCTCCAGAGATTCTCAGAATTTTCATGCGATGTTAAGATTTCTGGTTTATGAAAAAGCCATTAAATGTCAAATTTGTGATAGTTTAAAGCACCAACTTATAAAAAAGGATGTCATGTATGAGCTAAAGAATGACAATTGCAGATGGAGGGATGCTGATATGATGTCATGGCATTTGTGCACAAGTTATGTTAGACAAAAGGAAGAATCATTACTGGGAGAGAATGTAAATAACCCCACCCCCACCCACACACAGGAAACATCGTAAGAACAAGCTGATAGTCATTTGCAGTGATTTACCTCACATGGATCCATGAACAAAGCTTAAATAAATGCTGTGGTTCATTTACAGGTTGTTAACAGCACAGTTGCTTGTAAAAATCTTTTCACTTTTGTTGCCTATGACTGCATGCAAATAGTCTCCAGACTACCAGAACCGCAAACTAAAAATACATTTTGTGCAGGAGCCAACGCTTACTCCAGCAAACCTTGATGCTTTTCTGGCTGAGAAAGCTGAATTTTTTCATGCACGCATGTGTGCACCAGTATGAGTGCAAAAGAGAAAAAGAAATAAAGACCAGAGAGACACATTAATGTTCTGAGGAGTTAAGTTTAATGTGATTGTGACTGCCTCTGTCAGAGGTCAAATATTTCATTGGTTTACAGAACAAAAAGCACAATCAGAACCATTTGTACAGTTCGTTCAGCCAACTAAAAGTGTCTACATCGTATTCACCACTGGGGCAGACAAAAACCAAAGAACCTCTTTTAGCAGCCCGGGCATACGGAGGGTCATTACTTTTGACAAATGACAGACATCTTGCTTTATCAAAGACTGGGGGAAAAGTCTACCACATATTATCTACCTCATTTCATCAGAACGCTCTGTTCCCATCGAACCGTTTTCATCTCCCTTTATCAAAAGGATGCTTTGTTCGCTTGCTCTCCTTTCCCTTGTATCTGAGCAATCCCCTCCCTCTGATTATGCCATAACCTGTTGAGATCAGTGTTACTCTGCAGAAGAGTAATAGTGACCTCATTGGGTCTTTTTGGTTGACATCCATCCACTCCTTGGGCCCTACCACATGTACAGTTTGACAAGAAAGGCTGACAGAAAAGACATATAGGCAGGTCCTATGTTTGCCTCGTGTAAAGGGAAGGAGGCAAAGTAGTGTTGGAAAGAGTGTGGACTGTGACCATGTTGGCCAGACAGGAACATTGGCCTACAGCCGACATCACAGCGTGCTGGCTGTGGAAGCGGCTAAACGCTTTCCTATGTAGATACTGAAAAGAGAAGAAAGAAAGCAGGTATTAATGATTCAGGCTACGCTAACTAATCTTTTCAAACAGTAAAGTGGCTATCATTCTGCATAATTTTAAAGCAATTATGTGATATTTCCCTCCACAGTTAGCATAAGAGAGCTACGTCTCCATAGAGATCCTTTTATTTGAATGTTATTTCATCTTCAGATACTTAGTATTGGTGTTTGCCCTCTAGCACCGTATGCAGCAAATAGGTGTTAAAAATAAACTGCATTCATTTTGACTAAATTTGCAAGAAAATCGTCAGCCATGTTTGTTACAGACCTCTTTTAAATAGACACAATAGTCTTGCTTCAAAAGATTTTTATGGTCTGCACATGAAGCTTTTTTCTTTAATGAAAGCAAAACGAAGCTTAAAAAAATGGCTAAAAGTAAGGTATGACACATATATATACTACAGTCGTATATATATGTGTATACTAATATTGAAGAGGATCATGCGAGTTTTATATTATTTACTTTTATCGAGAAAATCATTTATTTTAAAAAGGTTTTATTTTCTTTAGTACCAGTTATTAATAAATACCCAACTTTTCTAATGATACTTGTTTATTCTAGTTTTTACAGTTAAATTAAGAGGCAGCACAATCTAATATATACAGTACTTGATCACATTACCGAAGGCATCAGCCCCAATATTTTTTTAATAACACATATTCAATCTTTGTTCTTTGGCATGTAGACTCTGACAGTGTTAACCTCCTATTTAAACGTTATCTGACAAAAAGTGAGTTTATGCAAACATCTCACCCGACTCCAAGTGTGAGCAGGTGTGAAGCCAGCAGAGAGGGAACAAGGATAAGGAGAACATCAGAGGAGAATATTCTTCTTTTCATCACTTCTGTCTTCCTAACGCTGAGGGAACTCTGCTGTTTCGGGTGCTGAAACACAAACTCTCTGCAAAAAGACAGAGGCAGGGAAGCAGTCATAGATAAAATATGCAAAAAGATCAAAGAGGAAAAAATAGAGATTATAACAACTGAGAGGGGGAAAGATGCTGACAACGAGACCCGTCAGAACTTGTGCATGTCAAATAATGTTATGTTGCAAGAGATTTAATGTCGAGTGCAGCGGTGCAAATAAAACACAGGGAGATTCAAGTTGCTGAAAAGCTTAATTAATAAAGAAATCATGCAACTTAAACCAAACATATACACTTAAAATGAGTATCAGATGTTGTTTTGAATACAAACTACTTTTTAAACTAATGACAGAACAAAGGAAATGCCTTTGTTTAATGTGAATTCATCTTTTTTTTTAACATACATAAAAACATGGCCAGAACATTTCCAGAAAAACAAGCCATTTTTGGTTTAAATCAAGGTGGATTTGTGAAAACTGTTTAATACCACAGTAAAAAGAATTTACTTCGGTGGCATGTTTTCAGGCCTGCTGGACCAATCCCACACCCACTCAGTGTCCCCTCGCCTCTCTGCCTCTTCCTGCAAAATACACAAAAACAAAACAAGATCAACACTGAAGAGTATTATTGTTTTAATATGGATCATTTTACAAGCTAAAAGTACCTAATTAAATGTCTTAATACTAACTTATATGAAACAAGTCATGTCTGTCCATAAGTGGATTATTTACCAAATAAAAGCATTTTAAATGTTTTTGTTCTGTTTGTCTAATCAATACCTCAAAATTAACACAAGAAAAAGGTTTTAAAAAATGAATACCTGTATGGTGACGCAGTCACTATCATGCTCACTGGTGGGTCTGGAGGAACCAGTGGACTGTGGAGTCATCACTGGTGGAGGACTGGGGACATACATTGTGTTTATGTGTCAGGGACAGAAGTTTTAAAGTTCAACTTTTTTTATTTATTTTTTGACAAAGATCTAAAATAGAAAAAGGTACTGTATTTTTTGGCCTATAAGTTGTGTTTTTTTGCATAATTTGCATGTTCTGTGACTTATAGGGCGAAGCAACACATTTATGGATTTTCCCCCCCCATATCTATAAACCAATTTTTGGCTGAGATATGACCGTTTTCATTCATTCCGACTGCAAAAAATAATTGAACAGTACCATTTCCAGCCACTAGATGGCAGCAGAGTAGTAGTAGCATTAAGGCATGGCGTTGTATCATGTAGGTTAATGTGGTTATAATGACAAATTCAAAAATGTTCAAGACTAACAACTGGATTTTATTTATTATACTTTACTTTATTGTTTTTGTCTTGAACTTTTTTGAATTTACCATGTCCTGGATGACTAACAATCTTCACCAGCTATTAATGACACAATCGGCCCACCTTCGTTCCGGCAAAATGCAGCTAATTTGACCATTAAAGTGCGTTTATTAAGTAAAAGTTCAACTGAGTCACACCTTTAGTAAAATTTTGTGCAAACAAATAATACTTAAAAAGTATTATTTGCTTTTCTTGTTAAATTTCGAAGAAACCAGCAGCGTTCCTCCTTCCTTTTTTCCCTCCCTTTGCGCGCTCCCGGAGCACCGAGGCAGCGACTACAGCTGTTTGGACCGTTAAAGTTATGTTAGTAAGCAAACGTTAGACTGAGACACACCTCTGCTATAATTTCCAGCAAACAAATAATAGTCTTTAAGTGTTTATCTTATTAAATTTTGAAGAAATGCGGAGGCTCGTCCCTCTGCACTTGCCCGCCTCTTCTGTGAATCTGGTTTTGAAATACAGCTGATATGACCATCAAAGTGCATGTATTAAGCAAAAGGTAGACTGAGACACGCCTTTACTATAATTTCGAGCAAACAAATACTTGGTTTTAAATGTTAATCTTGTTAAATTCTTGTTAAAGTCCTCGTGTGCACGCTCCCACGGCCACCATTTGGCAGCCCATTGATTTTTGGCACAACACCGGTCCACATTTCTGGGTTAGGCCCACATTTCCAGGTTGTCAGTGGTGATGCGTAACAAACACAACGCATCAGCAGTGACGCATAATAGATGCGACGTATACGGCGAAGTGACGTATTTATGGATTTTTCCACTTTTTTAGACATATTTGGACTGATGCGACTTATACGTTGTTGCGACGGGTACGGCGGCAAATACGGTATATACATGTATATAAATACACACATAAAATAAGTTTTATTTTGTTAGCATCAGGACCTGTCTCTACTCCTTTCACACTCCAGCTGTGCCTCCAGAAGTATCCTCTCCAGCTCCCCCTGCAAGGTGGAGGAGATGTTGTCCTGCGGTCCTGTCAGACTCTCCCTGCGACTCACGGCTGAGATCAGCTCCTCCAGCTCAACCCAGGAACCTGATGAGCAGACAACACACACACATGCTGATGGCATAAAAAAAAACTTTAAGCAGAAAGTCATAAAAATCACCCACATTTAGTACGTGCACATTTATAGTGGAGATCTATTAGGTACAATATTATTGTGATTGTTCACATGGACTTTTATGTTTATTATGTGAAAACTTTTCAATTTGTGCTTTTATCTAGGCTTAAATGAAAAAAAAATCTAAAATTCTGAAAAATTATTATTAATTTTTTTTTTTTAGTTTAGAAAGCTACAAACCTCGCTGTTAAACTTTAAACCGGCATGTTTTCACAAGTCACTTTAGATGGAAAGCTAAATTCTTTTGCCTATTTGTGTTGTAGGTTTGGGGAAACAAAGGCACTTTAAGAATTTTTCACACAAGAACGGACTGAGATAACATCTGTAATAACATCTGTTTGAGGTTGTGATGGCAACTTAATCTTATTATTTTATTCTGTGATCAGTTTGTGTGATTGAGTCAATCTGCTGCTTAAAAACTGATTAGGATGCTTAAATAATGATGGGACAATATTGACACAGCTGGTAGAGCTGCCGCCTCTCACCAAGAAGGTTGCCAGTTCAAATCCCAGCTGGGGGACTTTCTGGGTGGAGTTTGCATATTCGCTCCGTGCATGCGTGGGTTTTCTCCCGAGTATTCCGGTTTCTTCCCACAGACCAAAAACATGCATGTTAAGATGATTGGTAACTCTAAATTGTCCCTAGGTGTGAGTGAGAGAGTGAATGGTTGTTTGTCTCTATGTGTCCCTGTGATGGACCGGAGATATGTCCAGGATGTTCCCCGTCACTCGCACAATGATGGTTGGATATGAGCACCAGTGACCCCCACGACCCGAAAAGGAAGAAGTGGGTAAAGATAATGAATGGATGGATGGAGCTTAAACGCTTAACTTCACCTTTTGATGTTTATTTTTTTTAATTCAAATAAGTTTTCAGTGTAATTATTTAAAACATACTGTAGGAGCCATTTATCTTGTTTTTCCTGTGTTTATCTCCACTAGAGGGTGTATTTCATTTTGTGTACTGAATATTTCAGCAGAAGAAGGTGGTTACTTAAGGGCAGGTGTGATTCTGTTCAGGTGTTGCTAATGAGAAGGGGCAAACGGTTTTCTGCTGTGCTTAGTTTAGAGTCAAGGCAGATTCATTTGTTTTCTAAATGGAAATGGACATTGTGAGGGAAATAAATGATTTTATGATTTATAAGTCGAAATGAAGATCTGCATAGTGAATCTCGATTGAGCGCACGTAAAACCAAAGCCTACCAGGAACAACAACAACCAGTAGCCTAAAATATAGGATTTCAGCCGCTACACATACAAAGGAAAAATATCAGATTTATTTGCCACACTAATTTTTTTTTTTTTAAAGGAGCAGTGTGAAAGATGTAGTGACATCTAGAGGAATAATTTGCATATTGCAACATTTACCTTTCCAACATGTCAGCTAAAACTTGGTGTGTTTGTAGAACACTTTAACATTTAGAAAAATACTGGAATCGCTTTTTCAAATAGATTTGTTTTTCACCAACAGACTAAGTCTTAAGTTTTGTGCCTTTTTGTTAAAAACAACGGTTGTTTCCTGTCATGCTGACTCATTCAAACGGTGCGAAAAGTCCTAAAATATTCCCCAAAGCAGCTCTTGTTGCACTCAATAATCCAAAAACACAATTAGCATTTTAGTCAAATGAAATAAATTGTTACTTCACTGCTGTCAAGGATGTTGCGAAGACAAAAGACATGAATAAACCGGCCTCTTTGCGTTCTTCTAAAACCCTTCAGAGGTAATAATGAATGGAAACGTGTGCGCTGTTGTGCACATGACTCAGAGATGTCACAGATGACCTGAAGTGACCTCAGATGACTTGTGAGACTGTGCGCTATGAGTCTGGCTAAGTGGTGTACATGCACCAACAGAAAGAAAAGACAGAGGAAGAGAATGTATCGAGAGGTTTGGAAACAACAGGATACTGTATGAATGAGTCTTACTGAGCATCAAGGACTTAAACATGCACACTGATGTGTGTGGCGTGCACAAGCCCAAAGCTAAACACCAGGGCACGGCTAACTCAGGCTGACAGCATGCCTGCTTACGTAAGATTTTATTTTGGTTTCAGATTAGCCATTCACAACATCCTCCCCTTGTTTCTGGTCTTGCTTGGGACACGGGCAGCATTTTAAAAATATCTCACCTAATCTGCCAATTAAAGTTGCTCCATTTGGTTTGTGAATTTTTTACTGTGCAAAAGTTCATGACAATGGATTCATACAGGGAGCAGTAGTGTGGGGTGACAGCATGAGTGGGCACTATGCTGCTAGAAGGGCGCGGGGTGGGGTGGGGGGTGGAACTGTACCATTGCCCTAGTTATTTTCAGAGGGGAGTTATGACATAACTAAATAGCTGCCTGACTTATCTGTAGTCATTCTGCAGCACTAAATCAGTTTCTATGGTGCAATCCAGTGTGTTCATCTGCGCTGCTGCCAAATCAGCTTTATGTAATGAGGACAGGAGCTGGATGGGAAGAGACTCAATGAACTGCAGCACTACAGAGGTTTTTCTCCTGATACTCTCGGGTTATGGGTACCTGCCTAGAAATAATGAGGTTGTGAGATATAGCTTCTTGGATATCTTTCTAAAAGTTTTTGTAGCAAAAAATAATTAAATAAATGAATAAAAAAAAAAATAGACAATATTTCTGGAACGAGTGATAAGGGAAAACATTTGCACTGCGAATTTGTATCATAAATTTGTTTTTTTTCCAAACTTGCAGTGAAATAAAACAAACTATTGCTGGTAAGAAACTAGTTGGGGAGGGGAGAAGCTAAATAGGACGCAATTTATTTTTTATTTTTGCGTTTTACATATTCAGGTCTCTCGTAAATGAGTCCTCGAGGCTCAATGGGATTAACCTGTCTAATAAAGGTTGAATGAATGAATTTGTTATATTAGTTGGAAGTCTAACTTGCAGTTCCTTTTGCCTATGAAACTTTGGCTTCAATGCTTTTCATAAAGCTAACTGCAAAATAAAGCACAGCCTAAACTCACTGATACTAAATCTGAGACTCAACGACAACACCTGAGGGGTTGGATCGATCTGAGGCTGATGAAGCCCGTCTAATTTTTTTTCCACAAACATGTAAAAATCAACATATGGAATTTAAAATTTAGCTTGAGTCAGAAGGCGTAATACATATTTAGTTTTCATTCCTGAGGCATTACACTTTGTTGTCTACTCCAAACTTGTTGCCTCTAAAAAAAAATACATTATTTGGGATTTTTTTTTAGTTTTTCAGTTTTACATCTTATTGATTCGTTAGATTGGGCCCATGCAGCTGTTTAGTTCAGGGAACAAAATAAGTTTTCAATTTATGACAAAATGATCATGTTTCAGCCAGAAAAATGAATTTTTATGGTTTAAAATACAGCTTTTTGCTAAAGAACACCCATAGTTTTACTGTTTATTCTTGTTTTATATTATTGTTTTATTTTTAATTTCTAGTTTTATTAAATTAGTTGTACATTTGTTTTATTGTATTACACTGCACAATGATTTGTTCTATTGAGGAGTTTAAAAGGGCTATATTAATAAAATTGAATTTATAGCTTGAACTTTCTAACAAATACATTCATTAGAATATTGCATTTAGTTTTAATTGTATCACAGTTTGAAAGCTTTAAAGGCAGCAGGATAAACATGTCAATCTGTAAATCTGAGAATTTGTTATAAATAGGGATATAATTCATAATACATTTTAAAATATGCCCTGCATGATATTTCGTTTTTGTCAGTCTGCCACTGTTTGGCTCCTGATCCACATGTTTTACCCATCATCCTCTGTGCTGAGCCATGTGCAGCCTGCACAGTTTAGCTATAAGTGTCAGGAAATCTCCACATCTTAATTGGCTTACAAAGATGCAAACAGGTGAGTCAGGGAATCCGTTTACCCAGTGACAGCAGCAACAACAACAACGACATCTGTGAAGGCAGCGTGGCCTCTTTTCCTGCCCGAGTCTGACAGGAAGTTAATATTGTGTTTTGTATTATTCCAGTAGATGTTGGCTATGTACACATCAGAATACACAGACTGGATGTCATTGTTAACACTGTTTGTCCAGATAAAAAAATAAAAACAGTTATCTTTAATGTAAGTAAAAAATAATCTGTGCACACACACAAAATGGGAAGACAACAGCCTGGCGCACCATCAGGACTTACCATAAAGTCCATCCTCTGGTGTTTCAGAGCCGGGCAGAGACATCCCTGCACACTGGACAGAGGCTGGAGACGGAGCTTGGAGAGATGCTGACACCGACCGGAGAAGACAAAGAGGTGAAAACAAGTATCTGTCCTGCTGCAGTCTGCTTCAATCACTCCTGTGTTTGGACCTATGCCGTGAACACTAATCCATCCTCCCCCCCCCCCCCCCCTCCTCCCTCCCCCTCTTGTTTCCACATGTCGGCAGGCTGGAGGTAAACAAAACAACCCGAAAAGTCAGCATGTAAAACAATAAAAACCTTTACCGATATCAAGGTGAATGATTTCAAAACTCCTCACAGTTGCTTATTTTAAAGTTTTATGGGAAAGTTTTTAATACAAAAAAAAAAAATTGAAATCAGAAGCAGAATTTTGATCATTACAGTTCAAAAATTAGACAAAACAAAAACGAGACAAATAAGAAAAATATTATATTTCAACTGTTTTAATTTCCTTGTTTGTATTATAAAATAAGCACACGCAGATTCTTGTAACATTTCTGTGGGGGATGTGTGTACAGTTTGTATTATTGCTAACTTGGGAAATTTATAATGTTGATAAAAAATAAAAAAAAAGCACTCTTCTGGGAAGAGATTAAGAAGGACTGGAAATCCCACTGTTATGAAATCCAGCTTGTGTCTGGAAAAAAAATAAATAACATAATGCAACATTCTGCAATCATCAGACAGCAAGAAGGCTGAAGCCACGAAATAAGAGAGAAGCTTTGTGCTCCCTGCTTGGTGATTATCAGCAGAGAGAGGATAGAAAGGTGCCAGCTGCAGCTGAAGTTAGAGACTTATCTGAGGTTGGAATGACATGACCCTTTCCACAACAAGCAAACAAAAAGATGTAATAAAAAAAATAAAAAAATAAAAAAAACGCTACAATGACATGTATATGACCTGCAAACCTTACAAACTGTAACCTAACAAGTTTCTAATGTTGAAATTGAGCTTTATTTCTTAAATACAAATAACTAAACCCTTTGTGACATTTTGAATTTGATGGTAGCCAAAAAAAAAAAGTGTGTTTAAGTTAACTTTCCTCTTATGTCCCTGTGATGGTCATGTGATTTGTCCAGGGTGTACCTCGCCACTCCTACAGTGACTGCTGGACATGGAAACCAGTGACCCCTGCAACCATAAAAGGAAGGAGCAGTTAAAGATGATGGATGGATGGATGGCAAGTTTCATGTATTTCCACAGAAGAGGAGAGATGAACCAGTCAGAGTGCACATTCTGAACTGCATCACCAGCTAAATCCACCTACAATGGACAACTAAGCTTTGCATTTAGACTACAGAGCAAGAAGAATAGCGTGTACTATAGGTTTATTAATGTATGACCATTTTCTTACCAGGAGCAGGCATGAAACTGGGACACTATGAAAAAAAGTCAAGTCAGCAGCAACCAGTGGTCTAAGAAACAGGTCCTGCCATACATGTGGGTGTAACTGGAGTTTGTCCTCTGTGACTTCCACCCATGAAAGGTTTGTAATTAAAATATTCATAAGCTTATGTATAGTTATAGGGGAAACTGATTATTCTTCAATCTGACTGAGGTGGAAATTACTGTCGGGCTGTAATATATCATTGATGAATTTGATACTGAGTCGCAAAATAAAAAAGACCACAATGTGTGCTTTGCCCAATTAAAAGTAAAAACAAAAAGTGTGATTACAGCATTTACAGCAAGTTTATACGAAATTAGTGTGGCAATAAAACTGTGATGCATTTACATTCAAAGTACTCCAAATAATTCTAAAAGTTAGCTTGGAGTGCAGTTAAACAATGCTACCTATTTCGTAATTTTGTATCTAATTTAATCTTTAAAATTACTTCACTCAATATTTCATAGGTTTGGCGCATATTTTTAAGTCATATTTTGATTTTTAGAACTTCATAGCAATGTGTTTATGCAGGCCCACAGTAACTTCCCATTCTCTCCTCGCTGATGATGGACTGAATAAGATAAAACACACATTACACAGTACAAACAGATTTAAGTAGATGTCTGCTAAAATCTGTTCAGGTGCAGAGGGAGCTGGGACTGATTTCCAGCGGCTGAGAAGTGGGGTGCACCGTAAGAGGTCACCAGCCCATAACAGGGCCAGCACAGAAAAACATGAGATAAACATGCAAACCCTCACACTCTCATCTATGGTCTAAGAATCACCAAATAACCCAAGTATGTTTTCAGACTGTGGGAGAGAGAAAACCTGCGTTCACACAGAGCAAACACAAAACTCCATCTTGTCAAGATTTGATCAACTAATTCCTTCTGTGAGACAACTGTCTAATCACTTACAACAAGCCGCCCACTACATTAAGCTTTTTAAAAATGTACTCTTACTGCGTGAGAGGCTGTGGTAGTTTTGTGGTCAAATTAATGCCACCCAAAGGAAGTGAAAGGCTGCAAAGTTTATTCCTAAAATGCTCAGGTCCAAAAACCACAATTGCTGTCTTGTCTGAGTTTAAAAGCAAAAAATTTAGGGTCATCCAGGTTTTTATGTTTTTAAGACATGCTTGTAATCCAAGTAACTGATCGGATTAATCAGGTTTCATGGGCAAATTTAACCGTGTATCATCAGCATAACAATGTATCCCATGCTCTTTAATAACTTTACCTAATGGAAGCATGTATAAGGTAAAGAGTATCGGTCCAAGTACTGAACCTTGAGAAACTCTATGACTAATTTTGGTGTATGCAGAAGATTCATTTACACTCACAAACTGGAATCAATCAAATAAATATGACTTACACCATTTTAGAGCTGTTCCTGTAATCCCAATATCATATTCAACCTCTGTAGTAAAATATTGTGATCAACCTTATCAAATGCAGCACTGAGGTCTGGCAGGACCAGTGTAGACACCTGTCCATTGTCAAAGGCCATGGGAATATCATTAGTAACCTTCACCAGTGCAGTTTCAGTTCTATGATGAGCTCTAAACCCTGACTGAAACTCCTCAAACAGATTATTTCTTTGCAGATTTTTACGCAACTGACCTGCAACTATTTTCTCAAGATTTTTTTTAGATGAATGTTAGATTAGATATGGGTTTATCATTGGCCAGAATTCCTGAATCAAAATCAGGTTTGTTCAGTAAAGGTTTAATTACAGCAACCTTAAAGCTCTGTGGTACATAGCCATTCATTAGAGACTAATTAGGCAGATTCAAAATGTGGATACAGTAGTCCCTCGCTACTTCGCGGTTCGTTTTTCGTGGACTTGCTCTATCGTGGTTTTTCAAAATAAGCTTAAACGTGACACACAATTGGCTGATTGATGGATGAGCCGCACGATTGGCATGGATTTTTTATTTAAAATAATGCACACAGCTGTGGCAGAAGCTTCCTCCTGCAGCTGATCAGCTGATCTCCGCTCTGCAGCAGAGAAGTGGGCGTGACCAAGAGTGCTGGCAGGTGGCAAAGAGCTGAAATCATGACATGCTGTGCTCTGTTAGAGCATTTAGAGTTTAGAAACATTGTTTAGAATGTTGCAAGAGTGTGGGAAGGGTTTAAAATTCCTATACATGTACATATATATATAAATACTAAAATAAATTACTACTTAATACTTGTACTACTATTCCTACTTTGTAGTTTTTCACTTTGTGGGGCTTCAGGGTACAGATCCCCCGTAATAAGTGAGGGACTATTGTATTCATTAGGGGAAATATCTCTTTTTAATGTCTGGTTGGGATGGGATCTAGCAGACATGTTGATGGTTTAGATAAAGTTATTATTTTGACAATTCAGAGAGCTCAACCAGACAATAACAATCCAAACATCAAACAGGTTCTAGTGACATTTCTATAGCTGCCCCATCTGACAGGAAACCAGAGGCAATAGTAGGAAGGATGGTGTGAATTTTCTCTCTCATTGAAATAATTGTATTCATAAAGAATTTCATGAAGTCATCACTGCTTAAAACTGTAGGGAAACATGGGTCAACATAGATAGGACTTTTCATTAGTCTTGCTGTAGTACTGAACAGAAATCTGGGGTTATTTTTATTCTCATCTAATAAAGATGAGTAATTTACAGTTTTAGCTTTATGGAGAGCTTTCTTATGAGTTAGCAGATTATCTCTCCAAGTTAAATAAAATTCTTCCATGTTTGTGGAGTGCCATTTTCTTTTCAGCTTTTTAGATGCCTGTTTTAAAGTACGTAACTCATTAATTAATTAATTAATTAAACCTTTATTTATTCTCATTGAGCCTCTAGGACTCATTTACACGAGAGACATGTATTGAACCAAGGAATCAGCTTTCTCTGATTGATTACTTTTTTTTCAGTGGAGTACTTTTGTCATGTGATGTTGGTATTGAATTTGTAAACTTATCAAGAAGATCAGCTAAGTCACTGCTCTCTGTTGCATTACTCAAAAAGAGAGGTTAAAAAAAAAACAATGGAAGAGACATGCCTTTAATTATGTTGCCTTTGGTTTCTGGAAAGATGTTTAAAGGGAATATAAATCATAGTTATCTTAGTCAATGTATAGTGACTGATTTAGAGTTTGCTGCTGCTGTAACTTTGTAACATGGTTTAGTTGTTCACTTGCAAATGCTGAATACCTGCTGGGTTTGTATTGTGTAATATAATTGTACATTTTGCTCCCTTCTTGACCAGGAATCTCATAGACTCACCACAGACTCATGTTCGGGCCGCTGTTGATGCACAGTATTGTCTTTCATTATTAGTGTTTAGCATTTATCTTACATCTTTTAGTGTACTGCTTGGCATTTGTTTAGCATAGCGTATACCTTAGTTTCTTATACACTGTT